TTTTTTTTTCCTGTTTCGTTGGAGGCAAGCAGTTTCAACTTTCAATACTACCTGCAGCAGGATCAGCTGCAGGATTGTTTTTTTTACTGTTTTACTAACTTCTTAGTACTTTTTACTGTGTTTTTTTTTTTTCTGTTTCGTTACTTTCGTTGGACACACACACACACACACACACACACACACACACACACACTCACCTGCAGCAGCACCAGCTGTAGCACAAACAGCAGCTTCATTGCTACCTGCAACAGCACCAGCTGCAGCACAAGCAGCAGCTGCTGAAACAGCAAAAGCACACATTCACAATTTCACACACACACACACACACACAGATACAAGATCCCGAAAGCAAAGTTTGCAAAGTTTGTACTTTTAGGAACACAAAAGCAAGCAAGGACAGCGGACACACGGCCCTCAAGGTACTCTTTCGCTAAGGGCTACTCGTCCTCCCCCCTCGGCTGTTCCTCCCCGTGAGACCCCGCCTGCGACGGGTCCTCCTCCGGCTCATCTCCGTCCGACACTCCACTACCATCCGGCTCTCCACTACCGTGCTGGGACATTTCCTCCTCCTCCTCGCTGTTCTCCGGCGCACTGTCTTCGGACGCTGATGATGAGGACGAAGAAGACTGCTTTTTCCGGCTACGACGCGGATTTTCTTCGTCCCCTCGCTCTGTCCGCGTCGCCAATTGGATATTCCAATTGTTGTACACCAGCTTGCTCAATCTCTCCGGCACGAGCTTCGTGCGGCGTTGGCCGTAAATGAGCTGGTGCAAGCTCAAATTTCGCTCGCACGCAGCCGACGAGCTCGCCTGCCCAAGGAGTTTGATAGCCTGCAATTAGAGGAGGTCTAGGGACCCCGCGAACGCCTCCCACCATAGCGCCGGAGTCTTCGTACTCGCCTGATCCCTTGCGTTATGTGTCCCCATAGTGCCCAATCCCTGCACCCATATGTCCACGTGTCTGCTGATATCGTTCTGCAGCAACTCGAGCGGCGCCCCTCGCGAATCTCCATGTTTCGCAAGGTGTGCGTCCTGTACTCGGGGTCGAGGAAGGCGGTTGCGCAATGCAGCTCCGATGTCATGAAGGCCCACCGGTCCATCAGAATCTTCTCCACATCCGCCTTCTCAGCCTCCGACAGGCATTCCAAGGTGCGCATTTTCGCCACAACAACGTCCATGCCAAAGTAAACTTTGCTCATAGTTGCTCCGGGACCGTCCACCAAACGAAGGAGCTTGACAACTGGCTCCATCGTCGCCATGGCCTTATCGACAGACATCCTTCCAAAATCCGTTCGTGTCCATGATGATGTGCGTGACGGCGTTCAATGCCGCCACCTGCTCCCCTCTCACCAACTTCTCCACCCACGCCGCGTTGCCGACACAGAGCGCGGATGGATTCCTCCCTGTCTTCAGCGACTGAAGCATCTTAAAGTTAGTCGCGAATCTTGCGACTGCCGGACGCTTGAGTTGCGCATTCGCAATTTTGTTGTACATCGCACGGACCTTGTCGACTTTTGTGAAGAACTTACCAACTTGATTGCCCTTGTCTACGACCGCTTTCATCCAATCCATGCACTTGTACATGTCCTCCAAGGCCAGATCCAAGGCATGTGCTGTGCAACCCACACTAAAAATACCAGGGTACTTGGCCTCCACCATCTTCCCCGCTTTAGCGCAAACCCTCGCATTGTCCATCACAACATCGACAATGGACCCCGCACTGATCTCCCAGAGTATCAAACAGAAAACCCCAAGAAGCATCAAACATTTTTGACAAAATCCATGGTGCGAATTTGATATAACAAGCACTGGTTCCCAGTGCAACCTCATGGATCACCCCGTCCAGCAAGTTGAAGTACGCTTTCAAATCCTTCTCTCTCCCCTCCATGCAGACGGACTTCCAAAACACCGTTCCGACTGGGGAAGACACCATGACGTTCAGGTGCGGTTTGTTCCTCCGGTCCAACCACCCGTCCATCTGGAGCATGCACCCTGTTCTCTCCCACCTCTTGACTAGTGATTGCGTGGCTTCCCCCACCAACCTAAACTGCCCATCCAACCTTTTCGTCCTCATCTCGTCCCTCTTGCGAGGCCACCAATTAGGATGGAACTTCTTCACAGCATCGCGGAAATCGACGAAGTAGTAGTTCTCCACCAGGCTGAATGGCTGATTCATGCAAATCAGAAACTGATCCATCTTTCGACTCGTTCGCTCGTTATGGGTGATGATACTGTCCGCCTCCTCGATCAAAGTTTGTCTCACCGACCGTCCACCACTTCCAGGGGGAAGAGGGAAGCATGTCCCAGATCCTGCAGGCGAGGGCGTCTCACCATCACTTGGCCTTTCTCTTGGTGATGACGGAGGCACGAAACTGCTGGAAGACGGTCCTGTGCTCAGACCACTACTCCCACCAGTTGCACCTAGGAGCTGACTAGCCTGGTGCTTCCCCAACCGGATGCCCTCGACTCTCATCACCCTCTCCTCCGCTGTCAATGCCCGAGTGACAAGATCAATGCTGCACTTTTTCATAAAGTGCTTCTCTAAGACCGACTTGTTGCCCACGAACCGAGTCTCACAATAGCCAGTGCCTCGACCCCTTGCTGGGGCCCTTGCCGTGAGGACCTTCATCAGTGAAGTGCCTCACAAGCGACTGGTAGATCTGCTTCGCCAGCGCCATCGAAAGCTTCACCTGCGCACACACAATCCACAAACAGACCAGGCGTCAGCCCCTCTTCAACACTTTTCAACAGAGAGAGAGAGAGAGAGAGAGAGATCCTTCAAGGCTTCTGTTGAAGGCCGCT